TTGCAAATATTTTTGATGCGTATGAAATAAGAAAGAAGTCTTTCTTTCAGTACGAAAGCCTTTAGGATAGGCATCTTTCATGAGAGATTTATGTAGGTCCAAGAAGATATATGGATGGTTATTTGTTGCAGTCGGGTAACGATATTAGAGACGAGAATAACAAGGCATTGGTATGTAGCTATGCCGCGCAGGGATGCGAACCATACGAGGATTTTCGTACAAATACGAAATTTTTGGCACATATACAAGAATAATTTCACCCTTATACAAATTTGTATGAGATTTTGACCTACGATAATCGGTCAAAATAATATTATGTACGACGATAAAGAGTCAAATTCAGTGAATGTACAAGACTTTATCAGATTTCTATTTCTTCGTATGAGGCAAAGTGTTTTAAGGTTGGCAACCCTGATGCCGCGCTATTTGTATGCTGAATTGGATCTGAGCCAGACTGCACTCTTGTCGATGTATCGAACAATACGAGATTGATAGATATGCTACAGATTGCTACATTATATTGTGAGACTATGTCATTTAGAACAAAATATGTATGAGTTACTTGTTTTGTTGTTTGATTTCTTATTGTGTTCAATGAATTAGTAGAACATAGTTAACAAAATATGTTACATATTCTTATATGTATCGCATTAGATAGATAGTGGCGACTGACACCTGGATATGTGTACATGCAATGGTGGCTACCTTCCATGAGATGGCCGGCAGTGATGAGCATCACGTGACTCCCGTAGTATGTGTTGGTATTCTGGAGGACTAAGGTATCGTGCCTCCGTACTTAGGAATTCCACTACCATATCTGGCCCTTCAAATCAGAACACAGTTAACAATGGAAGTTACTTAATGACAGACATAGCTCAGACAAAGAACTACGCATCCAGTTTCGTACTTCTAAATAGGTTGTTTCTAATAACAATTTTGTAATTTCACTTATTAATTAAATTTATCAATATATACCTTGTTCTAAAAAATGCAACTAATCTGTGAATTAATTTTCATTATTGGTGATGGAACAAGAATACAATGTGTCACCATTCCTTTATCTTATTTTATCGTCTGAATGACGTTAGAAGCAACTGGGGACAAGGAAAACTCAAAATAAATCTTTTACTTGGCCAGTGTAGTAATAATGGATATGCGCCTAACAGTAATAAAACAAAACAGTGATTAAACTTGGTCATGTCGATAATTATTATGTAATTAAAATACGAGAATTCAGTAATTGAAATTCATTAACATTGCTTTATTATCCGCTAAAATTTCAGCTTGTTTACGGCCAACCAAAACTAAAACGAAACTGCAAGTTTGTGTCGAAACTAGCGAAAAACAAAACTAAACGATAGTTTGGTCGGATAGTAGAATGTAGTATTATGTATAAACTATCCTACTGTTAGGCCTCATTACCTCAAATGATAATCAACGATAATTGGAATGACATTTTATATCTAGAACAATAATACCGGAAAATGTTATTCTAAAACAAAATCATTTAAAATAATAAATAGAATAGAATAGAAAATCATTTATTCAAATAAACTTACATTGAATGACTTTTGAATACTCATTACATTTTTTAATCTACCGCTTATTCGGAAAGCTGTCTCATCACAAGAAGAACGAGCAAGAAACTTGCGTGTTGCTCTTTTAAATAATTTTATTATTACTTTACATTTTTATGTTTAAGTGTGTGAATACAAACCACTAATTATCACTAATTCAATTAAATACTCAAATAGAAAAATAATTGAATATATTTGTTATATATTCAATATTTTTTCTACTGGTTAAAATAAAATAAATAATAGTGTTCAGTTTTACGCAAAATATTCATTCAAATGGGACATTGTATCTGGGAGAATATATGATGTCAGTTTAAAATACGAGTACTAAAAAGCAATTTTAGTTGATCTGATCTGAAACTAGAAGGAGCATACAATTGTCCCTTGTGTCAAGTTTTAATAAAAATGTTAATTCAAATAACACATAACGTCGAGAATATTGTTCTCCGTTGAAAATATTGTTGCAAAAGCAAAAGGCAATTTCAGTTAATCCGAAAGATTATACCATAAATTGGTGCGGCTGGCATCTGAATGATAAATTAATTCTATTCGAGATATCGGACTTCAGTCAATTTATTCAATTACTGGTAAGAGTTTCATTTGTATGTATCGTATCCATGTCAGATTATATACGATGTGTATGAATTTTTTATATCGGTTTCGATACTCCGATCGGCCTATTTATGGAATGGTATTTTCTAAATTGGTTCAGGTATGTCCAGCATTAAGTGCCAGATATTTAATTTTAATCTAGGATATAGAACGTATATACGGGACTATATTTATAACCGCAACACCGATAACAAATCAAACTAAACCGAGAGACGGCGCTAACCATACTTATTACAAAAAAGGTTAAGTAAAGTTAACTTTACTTAATTACGTTTGCCATTTTTATTACAGCACGCAAAATTTTGTATAATAAAAACTTAATGAAGCTTTCTTCGGGTTAAATTTTTAAAGCATTAAAACTCTATAACGTGTTTGAAAGAACGTAACTTTTTATTGATCCCAGTAAAGTAAACCGGTATAATACAGATAATTTACGGAAGTAATATTCCCTATTAAACATTTTACTTTTGATAGTTTATTCTACTACTTTTGTTTGTTTCGTAGTAAAAATTTTATCTGTGTTTCCTTTGCGAGAAAAAAATAAACAATTTAGGTCTAAATAATCCGTATTACGAGGGTCAACTTAATTAAATTTATGGAAATGTATCTTGTACTGTAAACCTCTATTCTTTATATAGATACTGTAATACAATATTTTATGAGTAGATACAAATAACTTGACCTTCTGATATGTACTTAAATAACAGACAAATATCATATTGATACGACTGTTTGCTTGATTTTGGAAGTCACCCAAAACCATAGGATTGTTTACGAAAAGAATTTATTGAAATGAACCAGCTTCGACGACCGAACGCGGTGACACATCAGTCATATTATTGTATGATTAAGTATTGAAATTTCTTGTTTTTCCTTTTTATTGAATCTACGTATCGAGTTGTCTTATTCGTTCAAGTAAATATTTTAGATAGTACCTATACGATCCTATTTAGTTCTAAGTATTTGTTACAAGGATAATAATTCATTGCTCTGCTATTAATAGATGTTGTTTTAAGCGGATTGCGTATTCATGTTCGACATATTTCATAAGAGGCAAGGAAATAACTTTAAAGATAGATCAATCTTTAACGTTCTCCTATTTTTGTAACAAAATAGGTTCCACGAATTCTTTATCTTATTCTATACATAGATAATTAAAGTTTTATACGTATTGTAAAGCAATCTGTGCCATAAAACTAAGATTAAGGCTAAGTATATACATACATACACGCTGTAGTGACAATCCATGTATAATTACATTTACATGTAACTGTTAATAAAGTCACTTTTGACACTGGAAATAATTTTATTTTCATGATAATGAGTTGTACGTTTAGATAAATATTAGTTTTTATTTTAACTACTACCTTTAAAGAAAATATAAATAAACTCGATATTTTGTACATAATATGTAACGCGTTTTATTGACTGTGAAATTACATATTTGGGGCTCAAATTCCAGTTATTGCATTTTTCCCAAGGACGGCAAAATGTACATAATGTCGTTTACATCAAATTGCCAGAGGCTGTGTTGTACTTACTTACTTTCCATTAGGAAGGATGAACAGAAATAAATGTTAATCATAGTTATACCTACTGCCAATTATTACAGTATCAGACTTTATATAAATCTATCAGTATTGTTAGAATCAGCTGATAATTCTTTTTATTTTATATTATATTACAGGTTTTAACACAAATAATTTTATTGCAAATAAAGGTCCTCTGTCGATGTTTCGACTAGGTTGCACTAGCTGTGGTCATATCGTGGCCACGTGTAATCGTTTATCTATATTAATAATTTGAATAATGAGTACTAAACAAGAAAACTTATAGGATTTCAAAAATTAATATAATCTTTACACAATGTAAAGATATAGCATGTATTAAAGTAATATTGATGACAGTATTAAGCCGTATGATAGTAGGTGATCAATATCAATCTCTGAAGATCTCAGAAGACTCAACGGTTATTCGACGCGTGAATTTTTCACCTCATGAATACTTCGCAGTCAATCTCAATAAAGATTTAGTTGCCGCAAAACAGCTCTGAATCTTTGATAAGCTAAGCTCGTTGAAACTTTGTAATTTGCGACGATGTTTTGTAAAGATTTAATGTATCTCTAAAAACTCAAGCTGTTTTTATAAATGAGTTCTTTAATTATTTATGCCTATATTAAGTTTGCTATTTCTGATATTTTATTTTATATCTAGTGCCTTATATTAATACACATAAAAGTACTCCGTAGTTATTGAGATAAATTGTATTATATATTTCATGACATGCCATTCTGGCTGACTGACCTGACTTCATGCTATCACCATCCACTGGTGCCCCGCCAACGTATACCGTTAGCGTAGGCGTGAGTACCAATCTCATTTTCATCCAATAAAAACTGTTTTGGTAATATTGTATTTATTTTTATATGTGTGTCTAACCTGAGATATTAAGAGTAAAATTATATTTTTTATGTAACTAGCGCGGTAAACAACTTGGCATTCCTTCTGATATATGTATCTGAAAAGCACCAAGGACATTAGGTCATGATGTGACTCCCTCGATGCCCCTCATCGATTGCCATTCCAGAGGACAATAGTGTCAAGCTTGTTTACGTACCCTGTAGCTTCACAGCCATATCTTACCCACTAATTGAAACAGCTTACAACCCCTACTCATCACGTAGACGACTTTGTATAATATTATTTTTAAAAAACAAAATAACATTTTTATTATCTTTAATATACTTACATACGTACATAATTATTTTCATTAATAAAAAAAAAAATTAAAAAGAGAAGAAAGTCACTCACTTGACTATTTGGAAATGTGGCGAATGCGGACTGCACTTTATGCAGCGCGTGGTCCTGCTGGTGTGCGGGCGGGGGCCTGCCCTTTGGGAAATGGAACCTAGGGATAACTCGGGAGGGTGCGCCGCTATTCGCAGCCCCTCGCACAGTCCGTTGAAGCGTCGTATGCGGCGGCGCAGACGACGGTTTCGAAGGTGTGGACGCGGCATAATTCTGTAAACAATAACGTAAATATACATTATTACCTGTCCGATTTATACACATTACATAAGGCATAGAAGTATTTTCTACAAATATTTTAACTAGTTTAAGATATTCTGTGCCCGCGGTTTCATCCTAGTGAAATGTATAGGCTGTGTTATTCTGATATATATGCTATAATATTGTCAAGTTTCATTAAAATCCATTCAATAGTTTTTTCTTGAAAGAGTAGCAAACACCCATCCATCCAACTAAACTGACAAACTTCCGCGTTTATAATATTAAGATACAACTCTATAAATATTTTATACATATATAATACTCCGATTTCTATCAGGTTCTTATTTTTCTTTAAACTATTCTTTTGATATAAAATATGGGAATACATTAATGTAACATTTCCAAATATATATGAACTATGTAGAGTGGAAAGAAGTTGAAATACAATAAACAAATGCTTCATTATATATAGAATTAAAAAAATATATATCTATTAAACTATGAGTCTATGGAATATGAAACGAATTTATTATTATTTAGGCCACACACGCTACGATAAACAACTACGTCAGAACCGTAAAGTTCGAAATATAATGACAAAACGTAACACATTTAGCAGAAACTTATTCTATTTTACATACCAAAATATGTTACGATTAATTTCATAATTCGAACTTTATTGCACTTTAAATCGTATAAACCTACAAATATACTATACTAAATAATACTAGAGTACTCGTAGTTATTAATACAATGTTTTGGATTTTACCGGAGCAATAATAAAATTGATATATATTTAGCATTCTTAGTGATGAATTGTTGAAGGTCTCTATAAAATATTTTGAACATTAATTGCTGAATAATAAATTTAATATTATTATATTTATAATGCTTACCAATACCGCCATTTTTATTCCATAATACGTAATATTTATGTAATTTTTTTATATTATTCTATAACAAGATGTCTAAATCTCGTATCGATTCGAAGCGACTGCGTAATAGTGGACGTGTAAACACAATCAAAATACTATACTCTCGATTTCCATAACAGGATATCAAAAGAAACGAAATAATCTGTATAATTATACCTTTAGTAATATCATAATAATAATATTCGTTCAATATTAAAATTTATATTGTGAAGGTTGATCATTTAGCAATACTGTTGGTCACCCAGTGGCATAAAATTAAACTATAAATAATTTAAATTATAAATTTGAACATTATTAAGGTATTAATTTAGAGATATATACAGATTCACAGATTCGACAAATAACAATATTGACATTATTAGATAAGTCGTGTAATGTAATGCTGTTTTTATTGAATTAATGTATATTTAAAGCATAAGTTTAAAAAAATATTTGCACTCTGCACTACTTCTCTATGCAACTCCGAATATCAAAACGCATAAATTCTACCCCTTTGTAACATTGCTATAGACTAGATGAGATCGCGACTTCTTTCGGATAGAATAGATTACATTTTTATTATTTCTAAACAGATTGAAATAAAACTAACACAAAATTTCAATTGAAGCTTATACAACGTTAAGTAACAACGGTAATAACTAGACACAAATGGGTTGAGTCGTTGCTGAGGTTAGCAGGTTATTATATCTATAAAGTCTTCTAATAATATAGTTTATCAGTTATATATATCAGTTTTATTTCTAATATATTATAGACTTGTAAGTTGTTCATGAACTTTTTTTTTTATTCTTTATTGTACAAAATCTTGTATACAAAAGGCAAGGTTAATACCATATGGCACACTAAGCGGTGTGCTAAACAGTTAGATCACAGACGCCAACAAATATAAATAATATATATATTATATTACATTTTTTTATATAGGTATTCTTTTTTTCAACTTTTCCTCTTTGGGAAAGCTGTTCAGTTTCACTCATACTACGAGTATCAGTCTATTATTTTGTGTACTCTTTACAGCTAACCTCACAAGGTTATATTATAAAATACATATTTCCTAAGTTTTTCCTAAACGGAAAGGTGAAAGGGCAATCTGTGTGATTTATAGTAGGTACGATTGCAGATATTTTTCAAATTCACTCGAAGGACGCTAGTGGTTGTCGCGACACGAGAAATTACTCTAGGTGGAAATACTCGCTTCGGAAAATCACGTTTCAGGCGTGTACGGCATAAAATTCGTACCGCTTTTACATACGAGACATATTGTGTTTGGCGTAATATTTATCTACGTGAATTTCATTGAAACGTTTCCTTTTTTTCAATTATGTTTATTCATCTGTGTTCACATGTTACGTATTTCATTATTAACATAAATATTAGTATAACTATGTAAGTTAGAAACTTCTAATTGTAAATTATAGAACGGTTTATTTGTTATTTAGCTTAGGGTTGATGATGCATGGGATCCATTGAAAACCATCCAGATTTCAATTTAAAACACATGCAGTACAAATACAGGTAAATATCTGATATTATATAATAGATACATAATATCAATTTTGTTGTTTTTATATAAAAGAACCGTAAAGTATATAACGAAGTCAAACTACTGATATTATCGATTTGACAATGAAATTCATAGAAAAACATGTCCTATTTAATTAAACACCTACGTTTTATAAAACGTTAAATATGTAACATTAATTAATTTATTTAATAGTACATGACAAAATATCTAGCTCTGTCTGTATGTTAGTCCTAGATTCAAAGTGGATGGACCGATATGAACTCAGTGTTTGTATTAGACAATCAATCCGTTATTAAACATCTTTTTCAGGGCTTGGTAAATACATATTATTTTATGTATAAATAAGTTCTGTAGCGAACATATTTCATATCAATGTTCTTCTTTCTAAAAATAAATTTATTTACATTATAATGAAATGAATATTTATATGGGTTCATAGGTAACTTAATACTATAGAATATGAATACCTACTACATATAATACGGTAGGTTGAATCCGGAAATATTTTAACATAATTTGTTTCACAATAGAATATTTATAGAGAAATGCTTTGAAATATTTTAAATTTGAATACTAGATATCATTTGTTTACATAACAGTTATAAATGAATAGGTGCCGTATTTAGTTCATTCACAGATAATATAATATTACATACAGATACCCCATCCCATACAAGAAAATGGTTCCTTCCTAACTCGGGCTATTCTTCGGGCTATTTTATTTCGCCGCCGTAGGCGCTAGATGTCGCTATATCTGAAGCAGTTCGGATTACTAGTGGGTGATTAGTAATAAAGCATGAAAATAGATGGCAGAGAATTCGGTCTACATGACATCTGTTTTGCAAAGATACGTACATAATAGATATATAACTGTATCGAACTCCTGATTGGGTACAATCGAAAATTCAATGTAGGTATAATATTGTTCGCTGACAGTCTACAGACACGGCTAATGTACCTATGTATCTATGTACTATGTTACAGTTACTTTTTTACATTAGGCATGTGTGGCTTTCTTTCTCCCGACGAAGATATGTCGTAACGCGTCTGCACTAAAATCGGGCTATCGGTTAAGGAGCAATAGCTCCTTAACGAATAGCCCGATTTTAATACGGTTTTTTTTATTTAAATTGTTATGTGATAGTGATAGATTTTAGCTATAATCAATTGATGTGCATATGGGTACCTCATATAATTTTCAGTGTATAATTATTTCTCAATATGTAGTTAATTATGGTAAACTGGCAATTTGTAAAACTGAAAATAATATCTGCAAACCATCAATCTGTTATATGTAGGTTCTTTCAGGGATACTACATCGGTGCTAATGACATGTAGGCTATTTTGATGTTATACCTATTTGTAGAACCTTCGATATCTACAAACTACGCCTTTACTGCTAGTTTTTTGGTATTCATGTAAGTTGTTATTCAGTTGAAATTAAGCTGCGAAATTACAGGATATTTGGACATAACATCTATGTTCTCCGGAATGATAACGTATGCGGGATATAGCGGGCACGACATGATGACGTAATGCTGTTTAATAATATATGTGTATGTATGTACGTCGGATAGCGTCGTGGTTGGATGGATCGTCAGCTTATTTACCATTTCAGTTAATAATAGTAGGTAGTAACTTTTGACAATATGGATGAAGGAGGGTAACGGTGATGATGATGAGATCAATAATGACTGTTGACTATAGTGACGGTGGTATTTATTTATGACCACCATAAAATTCATCATTGGCAGTATTCTCAACATTATCATCATTGTTCATCATGATGATTGAGATCAAATTAATTAATTGATTAAAAAAGTAGCAAGTATTAGGTAGGTACTAAGTCCTTATATGACTTAAATACAAGGTTCTGGGATGCTCTGATATACTACAGTCTCTAGATTTTGTTTCTTATTAGTATTCCACGACCAAAGTCTATAGACAGGGAAATATAGATTTACACAAAGTTTTTTGATGTAAATGGGAATTATTATACACATTGCACATTGCATTGCATAGTAAATAATTCCTGACATTTTAAATCGAATGAGGTGAAACTAACATTGCATGAACACAACACTTGAAGATCATAACATTTTCATTTCAGGTAATAAAAACTTTTTAATAATTTATTAATCACAGAATAAACAATTGTTAATAATTTACAATAATATTTCTTTCACTGCTTGTCTGTTATACCACTAAAACTTTAAACACTCGTGTTATTTTTATATTATATTCCAAATAAATCAATATCAAGACATAATATTTCATCAAAATCATTTCATAATTAATTCCTGGTACACAAAATATTCCTGGATTTGTTGATGAAGCAATATAATAATAATCATGAGCTTAAATCATAAACTTATTTGTAGTCGGTTACACATAATATAATTACTTGGAATTTCTTCTCATCACTAGTCCGTTGCTTTCTTACTTATTTAATTATATTATTAATTGCATTGTGATTAATAATTTACAGATTTTTCTTCTGCTTTTTTCTCTTATTTTTACTTGCATTATTATTTTATACAGTAAAATGTTCA